TACGAGAAATCAGCAGCATAACGGCAGTATACGGAATGTACACAGAAATCACAAATTCAGAAATTTACCAAATTACCGAAAATCGAATAAAACAACGTTTCAAAGCTTTACTTGTACTGAAGCAACAATTTCCAACATCCTGAAAATTTTCTATTCGATAAAAATCGCACAGAACTCAAAATACCCGGTAGAATTTTTACATAAAATACTCAAATCGTGTAAAAATATCATATCATAAACATATCAAAAGTTGTGCGGTAAAACTTTCGTCAATACAAACTTATGCAAGTTTTTCAGTAACGGAAACACAAAACTGAGCACAGAATTATCAAAACTCGAAATCTTTGAAAACAGAAATAGGATTCGGATTCCTTACTGCGAGACAAACAAATCTTCCAACTGCGTCGTCGGACGAAAAGCGCTCCGCGGGCTCCAAAACCAAGCTTTCCCTTTCTTTCCTTCTCTTTCTCTCTCCTGCCTTCTCTTTCTCTCTCCTCCAAATGAATCCAAAATATCTCAAATCCGATACTTATCAAGCAGGATCATCTCGGACGATCCAAATTCGCCCCGGGACAAACTCCTCTGGACACAGATCGTGAACCAGATCGTCCAGACGAAATTAAATGCCAATTTCGTCGTCCCGGGACGAAACTCTCGGGTTCAGTTCGTCCCGACGGTTCGTCCCGACTGTTCCAGGTTCGTACAGACGAAAATGACAGATTTCTTCACAATTTTCTTCAGTTCGTCCCGTACTAAGACCAGTTCGTTCGGACTAACAGCACTCACAAAAATCAGCTTTTTAAGAGTTTTACAATAACAATTTAAGTATGAAGAAGATTTGCTAATATGTATATAAATATATAAACAAATGCTACAAGCACAAGATTTCATATGAGTTATAAAGAGAGCATAAAATATGTGTTGAAAATAAAATATGACATAATATTACATTAACATGACTTATATCAACATCACACATACATGGGTTGCTTCCTAGAAGCGCTAAATTTTAACTCTTCAATCAAACTTTAAATGAAAATGTAAAATAAAATAAAATTAAAATGCAACAAATTAAATTAAAAATATCAATCTCTCGCTCTTCCCTAGCCTACCCCTCAGAATCGAGGTCTTCCTCCTCTTTATCTCTCTCTCTAGGTTACCAAATAAAGGGTTGGTACTCATGTACAGAAGAAAACTCATGTTGCTCTGGCCTTTTAGCAAATGGATTATTTCTGAACATTCCAACAAGAGCCTTATTAAAACTGGATCTGTATTAATGTTATATCTCTTGTTGATCCATTATACGAGCCATCCACATTTTCATTTCAAATTGCCAATCTCATGACTATTTACAAAACATAATCACCTTCTCTATTTTCCCACTTAAGTCTACCACCTAATCACTTACAGATTTAAGAGTCTTAGCACTCTTCCTACTACTACTACTCCTTGCCCCTCCAGAAGACCTAGGATCACTAGGATCCATCTCTTCTTTATCAAATTATTTACAACTTAGAAATTTACCCCTAGTGAGAGCAATTATAGGGAGTAACTACTATTCATTTTGATCACCCCTCACATCTGCTGCTAAATAGAAAACATAAACTAAAGAAGGGTGGCCTAGACCCACTGAATTGATGTTATTCAGAGCATATGCAGCACCGACCTCTCAGCTAAGCATGAAGAGATAAATGAAAGATTAAACTCTTTTAACATGAATACCACTCCAAAATCCCATATTATGTCACCCTATGAAAATATTAGAAGAGTAAGTAAAGTGTATACTATTAAAATCCCCTCATAATCATTCATCTCTATAAATTTGATACATGACAAGCACCATGCCTATGTTTGCATCATATCAATCCAACAAACCTAGTTATGCACGCTTTTATATTCCTAGGCTCCACATTATACCCGATATTAACTACAAATATGACCACTATGTGCATTAAATGAAGATATGATATATTAAAAATAACATGAAATTATTGATATAGAGAATTCATTAGTACTCTATATTTTATTTATACCATTAATTAAATACTAGAAAATTTAGCAATACATGAAGAACAAGTGAAGCAAATTTATTTTCTTTATTTGCACAAAAGAAAAGATATCATTGGATAGTTCAATGATCTTCTCTACACTCCTTGAATTTACAAAATTATTTTCACAAATACAAAATAATCACTCTAACTGAATGTATCCAGTACTTCTTTGGATTCCCTTAGATGTTACTCCTAAGTAAAAAATCAAAGAATTCGAAGTACTATAAAGATTGAAATTAAACAAGTGACTTAACTCCTCTACTAACATTAAAAAATAGGCTATTTATAGAAAAGCACAAAAAATATAGATTTTGGCTTTGCAGCACTCGAGACACTTGCAACATTGAAGGGTTTCCTCCACTGCGGCTCTTGCTGGCATAGAATCGTGTTTAATGAATTAACACGTTGCTTCACTAACAAATTGTGGCCTAAACAATTACAACTATAGCGCAACAGTGTTGCTGACGGTTGAGCGCTGCGACGTCCATGTAACACTCCCTTGACTTACGGCATTGAAATTTGGCATCACGACGTTGTATAGATAGAGACTGGGCTTTGTGATGCTGACTTCTCTGATGCTGCAACACTGTCAAACAGAGACTGTGTGCCTCCATGTCCAATTTGGGCACTCCGACGGTGTCAAAGATGGTGCCATAGAGGTATTGTGTCTGAGGTCGTGGCGCCGTACTATACTTGAAAACTTTGCTCATTTACTATATTTTCCTACACAAACACAACTAAAGTAATACATTTTCACTACAAATTAACACATAAAAAATAACATTATTTACACTTATCACATATATTCAAAATTTAATTTGAATTATCACTTTTCTTCATCTATGTGAATTATGTTTCTTTGTTTATGTTGAAATTGCTTAAATTAAACTTAATTAATTCTTCTAAAATATTAAGATTTGAGTACATTGTTGACAAACTATTTAAGAAACTCATATTGATGTAAAGAGAAAAGTTTCAAACTGATTCAAACTAAATCAAACCTATTTCGAATATAAATTTGAACCTGGTTCAGATATGTGTTCAAATATGAATTCAATTAGTGAATTGTATATATTTTAATCATTTTCTAATAATATCATAATTAATTTCTCAGTATCATATGTTATTTTTTAAAATTTTGGATGCACTTAATAGCATTTTTTCTTTTATACAAATTAAATTATATACTATATTAACTTATTAACTTTGTTAAACTTTTTCAAAACAAATTACAATCAATATATAATTTATTTATGACAATTTAATGTATAAATGGTGAATTTCTTATCTTTGTAATATTTGTAAAAAAAAAAAATCTTTTTTTAATATGCAATATACTGAAGCACAGCCAACTAAAAAAAAATATACAAAACATACATTTCTTCATGTTTGTAGAAGATGAGGCAAGCAAGTATTTAATTTTTCTCTTTTATTTATATATGTATTATTGTGTGCTAGAACATTCACGACAATCGAGAGATAGTGAATTTATTGTCTTAATTTTATATAAAGATCAAATATACACACAGACAAAAGGGAGCGGTGTGACATTTAAGAGACAAATTTATGCATGGAAAATCATGAAAATGGACAAAATTATGAGGCTAGGCCAAATTGAAATGAATCGCTATTGTTTTCTATTGATTATAAATGATGCTCTTATTTGGAGAAAGGCATATGCTCAATACAACAAATATATATAAGCCGTATAGAGTAAATGACATAATTAAAGTTGGAAGGATTCGTTGACATGAGAGCTATTCTCAAAGAACATTGACTTGTTCGTTTGGTCAACAAAACCATAATCGAGTGAAGAAGGTTGAAGGGATCGTAATTGGACGACGGTGGTTGGAAGGATCATAGTTGACTAATGACTGTGATCAGAGGGACCATAGTAAGGCGGCGTTGGTCGGAAGGACTATAATTGGTGGGCAATAAAGGTCGAAGGGACCGTAGTCGATGAGTAATTGAGGTCGGAGGGAACACAATCGAGCAATTGAGATAGTGGGGACCATTATTGGGTGAAAGAGGTTGGAGGGGTTATAGTAGGCGGACGATTGAGGTTGAAGGGATCTTTGTCGTGTGACGGTGGTCGAAGAGACTGTAGTTGAGTGATGGAGAGTCTAGGGGACTGAGGTTGTGGAGATTGTAGTTGGCAGGTGATGGAGGTCAGATGAACCATTGTTGGGCAACCGAAGTCGGAGGGACCGTTGTAGGGCGACCAAAGGTCGGAGGAACCATTCTAGATGCATTATATCGAACATATGTTAAGAAATATTTTTAAGAAAGATAGAAGTACACCTAAAAATTAGAAAGTATTAGAAATGACATTTTTATTTAATTTAAATGGGAATTTCACTTTTAATTGAATTCAATGGAGAAAAAATTTTCATATAGCTGATCGCACTTAAGTCTCCTTTGGGAAGACATTCTTAATGCATTCTAAAATAATTTTTTTAGGAAAAAAAAATTATAAACTATTTTTTTTTTTTAAATTAAAGAGCTGCTTAAAAACACAGTAATAAAACTATCTCAAATGAAGCTAAAGACTTATGGTTTATCTGAGATAATTTTCTTATTATTTTTTACAATAATTTGTTAATTTACAATTTTTTGAATGTAATAGAAAAAATAATGACCCCATATGAAATCTTAATATTGTTATTGTATTTATTTATATATTTTAAATAAACCGCTATTGCCCATTTCCCTGAAAGCTTGCGAGGAGTTACGTCAAAAACCGCGCCTGCGCGGCAACAGTCCCGTGCCCTCCGCCTCAACTTTCACCTATCCTGCTACCATCGCCCGATATCGCATCCGTCCAAATGGGCCCCACTGATTTGTGGGTCCACCTACTTTCATTCACGCCCAGGAAGTCAACAACAGCTCGCCTGCCAATCACAATCCTCCATATCTTCACAACAAAAATGGATGGTCTAGATCGAGGAATTCCAGGGCCAGCCTCTTGCCGGCTCTTGTTAATTAAACCCACGGAAGCGGCTCACGGTTGTCGCGGCGCCATTGGCAGGAGCGGAGTTAGGGTTCTAACGCTCAATTTCACTCTCGATGCAAATTGGTATTTGATAAAGTATCGTGAACTCAATTTCCGTTGATTCGAAGTTTTAAGGTATTGGAATGGCGGAATCCCTAATTTCTCTTTTATTTCGTTGTTTTGTTTGGGGGGCTTGCTTCTAATTCCCTTTTCTTTCCGCATTTGTTTTGTCTAGCTTTAATGGCTTTAGAAGCTCCGTTGCTAAAGATCTCACGTTTGCCTGCTTCTGCAGCGGGATTTTTAGATGGAGAGCGCCTCAACCCTATCCGCTTCCCTAGGGTTTGATCATTCCCAGGAAGACGAGGTAGAGCCCGTGATCCAAATCCAGTCCGAGCAGCCCCATATGGACGAGCAGGACATCTCAATTTTATCCCTGGTCTCCGTCCCGCTACAAGGTGGAAGCGGTGGGGAAAGTTCCCGTGTGGAGCACCCAGGTTCTGAATGTATCGATGACTTCCTCACCGGAAGCGATCAGTTGGAGCCGAGGCTTGGGATGGAGTTTGACTCTTCGGATGACGCTCGGGCCTTCTATTCGGCCTATGCCGAGCGCGTCGGCTTCCGGGTTCGCAACAGCAAGTCTTTCACCTCCAGGGTGGATGACACAGTGATCATGCGCCGGTTTGTATGCTCGAAACAAGGGCGGCCGACCAAGAAGGATCCCTTCGACCTCACCAAGAAGCGTCGCAATCGAATCTCCTCTCGTGAGGGTTGCAAGGCCATGCTTCAGGTCAATCGCCGAGAGAATGGCCAGTGGGTGGTATCCCGGTGTGTGCTTGAGCACTGCCATCCCCTTGGGATTGTTCCGAAGCAGTTTCCTTCTCTCCAGAAGAAGCTGGCTAAGAAGCCCTGGGAGCTCATTCCAAGTAGTGTTTCAGAGGCGCAGCAGAATGGGCTTGGAGTTGGTGGTGGAGTGGCCCAGAGCTTGTTGGAGTATTTCAAAAGGATGCAGACTGATAATCCAGCATTCTTCTATGCAGTCCAAGTTGATCAGAATAATTGTTTGGCAAATGTGTTTTGGGCCGATGCTAGGGCTAGAATGGCGTATGGCTACTTCGGTGATGCTGTTGTTTTTGATATGACCTGTAAGAAGAATAAGCGAATGGTGCCTTTCGCTGCTTTCTCAGGAATGAATCATCACAGGCAACTTATTGTGTTTGGTTGTGCTTTCATGACTGATGAGAATGAAGCTTCATTTATCTGGCTATTTGAGACATGGCTTTCTTTGATGAGCGGACGGTATCCAGTTTCTTTTGTCACCCCATTTAATGAGGTAATTGGATCGGCTTCTGCAAAGGTTTTCCCTAACGTCCAACACCGTTTTTGCCAAAGGGACATATTTCGAAAATGCAAGGAGAAACTTCCAGATGTTTATTCAGAGTATGCTTCATTCAAGAATGAGTTTAAGAAATGCGTGAATGAATCTGAAAGCAGTGGAGAATTTGAGTTGTCTTGGAGGTTGCTCCTCGATAAATATGGGTTGGAGGGAAACATGTGGTTAAAATCCCTTTATAATGTACGCCAAAGGTGGGTTCCAGTGTATATCAGAGGTACTTTTTATGCTGAGATGCCTGGCAGCGCCTTGAAATCTGAAAGAATGCACAATTTCTTCCAAAGGAACTCCCTTACAACAACTACATTGCGGGATCTAGTGTCTCAGTTTGATAAAGCCATGGCAGGCCAGTGTGAGAAGGAAATACATGCTGATTTTGCTATGATTCATTCAAAGCCTATTATGAAGACTCCATCACCAATGGAGAAGCAAGCATCTGAAATATATACCAGAGTGATATTTGACTTATTTCAAGAAGAGCTTGTTGAGGCTTCTGGTTTTTTGATGGATAAAGTCGAGGATGGATTGATTAGCAAGTTCCGTGTTACAAAAGTTGATGATACTAATAGAGCATACCTTGTCATGTATAATGCTTCTGAAAAGACCATAAATTGCAGCTGCTCTATGTATGAAACTTCTGGTATATTATGCAGACATGTGTTTAGAGTTTTGATGGTTCTTTGTGTTCTTACACTTCCATCAGAGTACATTTTGAGGAGGTGGACTAGGAATGCTAAGAGTGCTATTTTATCCTATGAAAATTGTGCACATGTTCCAAGCAACAGCTTTAGAGCATTTAGTTTGCGGTTCAATGACTTATGTCGTGATGCCATTAGGTATGCAGAAGAAGGGGCTACTTCTGCGGTGATATATAAAGTTGCTAAGGAGGCATTTCAGAATGCTTTCAATGAAGTTTTCAGTGCAAAAAAAGGCTCATTTTTCAACAAAGCCAAGTAATATATATATACTTATGTATATATTTTGTTTCAAAGGCATTGATTTTATTGTTTCATTTCCAACTCCGACCATGGCAATAAACAACTCAGGTAATCTGGGTGTAGCTCCTGATACTGAAAGTAGTTTTCATCCATTCCTGAATCTTGATATTTGATGCTAATATCTGAATACAACATGCACACTAAACATTTGTTCCCCTGGAAACTATGTCGAACATCTGGAGAGTTCTCGTTCTGGCTTCCGATCCGACCCGACCGAGAAGGGAAAGTCGTCAAATGAGGGAAGTCGGTCGGAGGAGCGTGGTCGAACGGCGTCGGAGGGAGTTCGGCCGGCTCTGGTCGTGGAAACAGAGGGAGGATCGGAGAGAGAGCTTGTGGGAATCGGCCGAACGAAGCCTCCCTTCGACTATTTAACGACGCATTCGCGTCGTATAGACGACGTGGGAGATGCGGCTTCGGCGTGCCAGCGCGTGGGAGGATGTCGCGCGATGTGGGGCTGCAGGGAGTAGGTAAGATTTGATTGATTTTATTTTTTTTGTTTCAGTCTTGCGGGTCAACAGTTTATTAATTAAAATTTAAACAATATAAAATCAACCATTGGATAATATTTTTTCCCCAACAAAAATTGCATAGCATTCTAAAATAATTCAAGTTTTCAAAATTAAAAAAAAATAAGCATTGAGCATATGTAGATAAAAGCCTCACATTAAGGGCCACATAATAAAAAATATATTACAAGGCAGCATTTGTAAACCATATAGTCAGATATCTTTGCTTAAGTGGCTAAGTTGTAAGCCTTTTTCTTTAAATTAAAGTAGTCTTACCTAACTTGCATATGTATTGAGACCAAACATCACAATTTTAAAAGCACTGAGATAGGTTAGATGGTAATCTTGCTTAGCAAGGATAGCAAGCACAAAGTCGTGTTGACTATCCAAGTGAGGATTTCAAGTTTGTAAGTCACATGCATTCCGTTAGATTTATGTTGAAGTTATTATCTATTGATGGTTCTCACCTTAGATTTAAGATCTAAGACTGGTGTTATTCTCAGTTACATCATAAGCTCTCATTTTCTTTGGCATTTCCTCCAACTTGTGTTATTAGAATGAGATCCTCAACTTACTAGTCAATTTAAATATAAATCTAATTTCAAAATATAAAGTTTAACATAAGATAGTTTTGAATACCTTTGAGACCATACAAATCAAGTCTTCCTACAATTTTCACATATGGCTTCCATTCAAAGAATTGACTTTAAGTTGATTCAATCTCCCTTGAAATTCTCAAAGATCAAATCTTTGATAAGGATTTAAAAAAATCAGCTAAATATTAGTCAATGTTTTGATGAAACGATGTAAATTACAATTTTAATCAAATATTTTCTTAAGAGACAAATTATTAGGATGTAATTAATCATAGGGACTTACCCCTATGAGGAACTTTTACCCAAAAATATAATAAACTCCATTTAATCAAACATATTGATAAAGAAAAAATCACTAGTAAAATATAAAAAAAAAATACAAATTTAATTGTCGAGTCCATAATAAAAAAATATTTTTATCCCCCAGGATAATACATTATTTTATATATACTATTCAATCATAAAATATTTTAATCCACTGAGGATAGCAAAAATTCCACCACCACATCATTTGCAAGTGAAATTTCTGGCTAATAGTTCCTGCACAACAATTCAGTCTGCAGGAACTCCATCCAAAACTACAGTTCGAACACTGCTTCCTCAAGAGTAACGTCCTATGCTGCTCTGTTGCTGGGAAAAATCTATCGCAAGGAAAAAAACAATCACAAGGGAGGATTAATAGGTCTTGGCAAAGTCTTGGACTTCACTACGATTCCCTTACTACCTCACGTAAAATAAGGGAATAAACCGTCACCTTAGGATATACTGAAAATAAACTCTAAAAAAAACATCCCTCCTCAAATGAGCCTTAGGTATTTATAGGAAACAAAAAAGCAAAAAAAAGGCCAAAGAGCAAGTAATTATTAAAATACCCCTATAAAAGAAATGTCTAAAAGATTAAAAAAAGGAAGAGAAAACAAACAAATAAATAAAGGAGAAGGCTTAACAGACATTAACCATATCACTAAAGTTCCAGAGACAATCACAACTAAATGAGAGCAGGACAACAACAAATAAGGAGACTAATTTACTCTTCCCTGATACCTAATGTATGTGTGTGTTGTGGGCCTTTATAGACAGTGGCAACAACCACAGCCTACAATCTTCCTTGTCCGATTCAATACCTGCATGAAGAGGATGACTGCCACAACTAAGCCAAGCCAAAGAAATTTATGGATCATTTTGGTTCCGGTTTGGCCAATTTGAAAGTTGTTAGTCTTCATTTGACCCATGGTTTAAAATTGCGCAATATGAGGCTCGCCTTTGCGCAATTCAAGTAAAAAACGCCTTGATGCTTACGCCTCGAGTTTTTTTTATGAGGCTTGCGCCTCAACTTGGTTGAGGCCCGCCTCGCCTCACTGGCATGAGACTTACGCCTCACGCTATATATATATTAAAACTTATATAAATCTTAAAGTAAATGCCCGACATTGGACTCTATAGGAAAGGAGGAAGGGGAGAGAGCAGTTCACCATAATGCCACTTAGTGATGACAGTGCTGATGACTTATGAGTTCTTATGTGATATGTCATTGATATTTATTTTTGGAAATTGGAATTATATGTTAATGAAAAGAATACTGGGATTTGGGAAAGATAGAATTTTGAGTTGAACTATATTTCATGTTGTCTTATTATTGAGATATTTTGATTTCACTTCATATCTTATGCTTTTTTTATGTTTTATATTATTCACTCATTAGTATATAAAAATTTTATCATTTTATATTTACGCAATCTTTTGATTTTGAGGCTTACGCCTCAAAACGCCTTGAGGCTTACGCCTCGCCTCATGAATAAAAAACGCCTCAATACCCGAATACGCAATTTTAAACATTGATTTGACCTCTTGTTTGTCTAAAAATACACTGAGCAATTGGACTCATTTAGGCACTAAATCAACTAAATAGACATCTATTAAACACAAATTCAATCTTCTTGAGATCCTCAGAATTCATGGTGCGCATAAAAAATTGTGATTGATCACATTTGAATTTTTTACAACCCCAACCATAATTTTAAGATTTGTTTAGTCATCTGACGTATAACTGTTTTAAAGCTGTATTAGTAGTTTGATTCTGTCAAATCAATTAGTTCCAGAACTGAATCAAAATTGCCAAAACTATAATAGGTTTCTTCTCATTTCTATATGAGTAATTTCAACCTATTAGGTGGACTAATAACTTTCTTAGTCAAAGGAATCCAAGGAAGCTCCATCCTAAACTAATTCAAATTACGCATTCCCCTTATAGTCTCCTATCAGTAGCTTACGATAGTCAAAACAGCATATGTTAAATATCAAATGAAAATATATCAATCACAAACTCCTTTTGCAATGCTTCTTGTGCACTGGGATAGAGATGGAATACCAGGAAAGAGAATGGGATGTGTCCTATTCAACATCTAGCATGCCAGAAATGTATGAGTAAAAGCAAAATGTTACTAATATGAATTTATTTATTTGCCAAATTTGCTAGGTTGTCAAGTACTAAGACTAGATAGATCCTATCATTAGTAATGTAGCTTTTATATCAAAAAAAGTAAAAAAATAATTCTTACTTTAGCAACAGTAGAAGTACAAACTTCTGTTGCAAGATTATGAACATAGATTTAGCAACTGAAAAATCGTTTGTTTAACAAAAGATGAGGAAACATGCCTGAAAGCTCCACAAAAATCTTTCATTCGAAGTAAAAACTCGCGCAGTGCCTCTCTAGCCATAGCAGGAATCATATTGTTAAAAATATAATAAAAAATGTAAAACAAAACACAATAAAATGCTGATATTGAAAAGGAACAAAAAAAATCACCTATTTATTGAAAGAAGTGCTGAATTGCTCCCCAGAGTAACAAGTGTGTTCACTGCAGCATATGTTGTTGCAAGATGAGGCAACTGCAATGAGTAAAACCTAAGTCAAAATTAGTTAGTACAAACAGAGAATTAAGTTTCTGATAATCATGTGCTGCCACAGATGATATGGCCCTGAATCACATTATATTATGTGTAAAATAATAAACCTTGGGAAAAGAAAAAAAATAACATGAATTGCAAAGTCAAACTCTTTAAGTATGAGAAAATAACAAAGTAAAATTAATTTTGTAAAGCTTAAGGTTAACTACTTTACAATGTAACACCACAAAGAAAAGTCGTTGAATGGGTGAGGGATCGAGAGAGAGCGAGAGTCGGGAGAGTGAGCAGAGGAATGAGAGAAAGAGGCGATCGAGAGAGTGAGGGAATCAGCGTAGGAGTCGAATGAGGAGAGTAGTTAACGCGATGTAGAGGGACATCCGATCGTGCGAGGTCGTGGGCAACGACGTGCTGAATTCGGCGCCGGACAGGTACGTGGATTTTAATTTTTTTTTAATAATTTTTTTTTTTATACAGCAGTTCAACAATCCCATGAGGTGGGGTCGGCTAAAAGAATCTTTTTTCTTCATTGTGTCATATTAAAAGTCAAATTCTCCTTTAAATACAACTAAAAAAATATCATTTTTTATACTTTCTAATTAAGTCTTCTTAGTTCTACCTCTACCTTTCTCAAAGGTCAAATTTAATACATATATTCTCCTTCCCAGTTCGTCGGAAGGCCAACGAATTATGTGATCAAACCATCTATGGCCTCTCTAATCTTATTTACCATTGGAGGTACTCCAACCTTTTAACGTATATACTCATTTTGCACTGTCTCCAAGTGTAAAACCACTCATTCACCTAAGCATCCTCATCTCTGAAACAGTTAACTTAATTTTATGCTCCTCTTTTAATGGCCAATATTTTGAGCCATAAAGCATTGCAAGTTTCACCATATCTTATAATTTTTTTCCTTAAGTTGGAGGGGTACCTTTCTATCACACACCAAGCCCGATGCCTTCCTCCACTTCAACCATCCTGCTTGAAATCTACTAATAATATCTCTATCTATTTAACCATCACTTTGAGCAATAGGCCCTAGACATCTAAAATGTACACTTTTTGCAATAACTTAACCACCCAATATAACAATCCCACTATTTGATTTATTACTACTAATATTACACTAAATGTATTCGATTTAAGATCTACTCTAACACATACTTTTAGACTCCAAGGTTGACCTCCATAATTCAAGTATTCTTTCAACTCCCTCTCAACTCTTATCAACAAGAAGAATATCATTAGCAAAAAGCATACACCATGGTACATCCTCTTGCAAACATCTAGTAAGAATATCTATGACTAAAGCAAAAAGATATGGGCTTAAAGTTGATCGTTGATGTAAGCTAACTGAAATATGGGCTTAACGCAAAATTTTGGAAGAAGACCTAAACTGAAATAAGAAATTACTTACTTAGGTCCCTTCTCAATTACATTGAAAAATTGAACAATGGAGTAAAATTTTGCTTCCACTCAATTTTTGTGTGATACAGAATGTATATTCTTCAAGCGCTTAGCAAGACTTGATAATAATTTTAGTGGGATAATTTTTCTAAATTCAGCATTGATTTTCCATGAATTGATTTACATCCTTAATTTTTCCCGGATTATTTTTGATCTGTTCGAATGCAAATATTCCTAGTGTTATGTAAATCAAATACATTCATTTTGAAACTTTTGTTGTACGGTTGGATGAAAAGCAAATGCTTTGTAAAATTCCAATGCTTTTTTTTTTGTAAAATTCCAATGCATTTAAAATACCCTATCAAGCTTGTTTTCGGTGTATTTTTAATTCAGCCCATTTGGGCAAATTCCAGAGACACAACATGCGTGACGCATGGCCCACTACCATTGCCCATGTTGTTCGCCACAACCGACAGTGCAGAATGATCACCACACCACTGCCTCCGACAAATTTTACACTGAATTAAATTTATTCCAAAGCAAACACAAAAAAATAAAACCCTTGCATTTCTACTGCTAATGTAGTACATGGAGATGGTTCTATCACTAGAAAAGGAAGCTCAAGTGATGTAGACACACAAGAAGAAACAGACGCAATGGATAGAACTTAAAACAAACTTTATTAAAATAAAAGCAAATAACTAAAACTTGACAAATATAACAAGAAATACTAGGAGATTTTAAAGAAATAAAATAAATAAAAAGACGCTATCCTCAGACAACCGTCAGAGCGGTTCCTCACATGCATCGAATTTGTAGGTTAAATAAGTAAAGTGCATAGAACTAGCAAACCGATTGTCTACCACTGCAAGATTGTCCAATTTCTTCAATCGATGCTTCAAATCAACTCTGATACGACACCCTAAAGTTGCTTTACTTTGAGAAGAAGGATACATATGGAGTGGCACTTGCGGAGAGACAAAAGAGATTAGAAGCCCGAGAAGAAAGGTTGGAAAGAGCCCGCAGGATTTCCGGAGGGGATGAGAAAAGAAGGGTGGAAAGAGCCCGCAAGATTTCCGAATAAACCCGCAGGTTAATAGCGAATATGCTCACAAATATCAACTCCCTTTCTTCACTTCATCATCTCATATTTATAGGCAAAGTAGAGGAATGCCAAAAGCCACCTTAGTTAATGTTCACATCATCCCGAGCATTTATTTAGTTTTCAAAAGAATTCCAAGAGACATTTCGGAAAAAATAACCCAGCATCTCACGGAACCAAAGAGCCAGCAAGCAGGCCGAGAATCCAAAGCAGCACAGCAACGGGAAAAGCATCCCAGTTCGAAAAATCAAAGGCCGGATGGACTGCCAAGGGAAAAAGCATTCTTTTATAAATTCTAATACTTTGAATTCAGCCACCAATTAAAGAGCAAGCCACAGTTCTCCAAGAGACAAGAAGAAAAGGGGAAGGGGAAGGGACAAGGCCACTCCAAAAGTAATTCTTCTTAATGAGGTACCTTTTGAGAATTAAAGAGCTACTAAACTTCAGCTCAAGCAACTTAGAGAACAAGCTCAAAACCGAATGCTCCAAAACAGCCAACCCGTGAACCACCAGCAGCCAGGGACCAATTGAGCCAGCAAACCAAAGGTCTACCAAGCCATATGCACTACCTACCATGATCATTGGATGCTTTCCCATCATTGGATAGCTAAAAAAGAAAAGAAAATAAAATATATTATTGTTCAAATAAAATAAAAAGTATAGAAATTCTTGATAGCATCATCAAGCCATAAAAAACCATGAATTTATACATCATTATATGTTTTTTATGTATTTTGTATTATTTTTTATGTATTTTCATATTTGTGATGTTATAAGATGTGTAGGCTGCATAATGCTGTATTTGTCTTGCTAGTGTTGATGTGCTTGGCTAAGGAAGAAATTGGGTGGTTAAGGAAGAAATTGGGTGGTTGTAGGTAATTACAACTGGGTAATGCACGGAGCAAGGGGTCGGCTCCTCCCACTTTTCCTTTCCCTTCGTGTTTGAAATTGAATACCAAGAGGTGTGTCTTTTGGAGTTATGGTAGTTTCATAATACACACTTTGATAAAAAAAAATAATACAACTTTGATAAAAAAAAATACACACTTTGCTGAAATAAATGAAGCAATTGGTTGTGTAACACATTTTGAAGAGAAATTCAAAGGAGCTTGGTGGCTTGGTGGCCAATAACCCAAGAGGATTGGGTGATCCTTTTGAATTTCTATTTTGGCTAGTAGGGTTTAATTTTTCCTACATTTATTTATTATTACAATCTTTTGTAGTTTTTTTTTTTATTCTAACTTGTCTTTAAAAAATCCAAAAACCATTTTCATCCATCAAAATCTAACTCGAATCCCTATATCTAGGGTCAGCCAGAACTTTTGTTTTTATTGGACTAATTTTATTCCTAGAAGCATTTGATCACTCTAAACCGCATAAAACTCAACCGAAATCCCCAAACCTCTAGTCTATATCCTATACTTCAATAACCCTATATTATTTGGGAACTAGTCAAAATTTTGAACAAAAAATCCTAGTCATATTTTCATTTTGTTGTTTCAGTTCAATAACATGTTTCCAGCCCACAGGAATCATAAAAAAAATATCAATGCACCACAAAAAATCCTAAAACCTTCCAAATCCCATCAAGGGAGTGTCCTTGAACTATTCTAAGTGGATTTTTTTAATTCCACCATATCAATAGAAAACCACACCGAATTTTCAAACCTTAGTCTGTTTTGGATAGAATTGACCATTATCACTTCCAAAAAAGAATAGACTTACCAAACCTTTTCTACTCCTTACCAAGCTCTCCAAAATTAAAGTGAACATCCTCATCTATAAATCAAGTTCAAGTTCACCGCATTTAAAATTCTAGAAAGGAGGAAACATTAAGTAGAATATTTAGTTTCCAGTTCTAGACAAATTGTAGGAAGTAGAAGATTTAGTTGTACTGCCCCTAGAAGTTGAACTTCCATCCCTTCGAGTTGCTATCCAGAATGAGATGACTCAGGAACAGAACGCTCGATTAAGAATGGAAGAGCTCGATGCACTCGATGAAATCAGGTTGCAAGCTCAGCAGAACTTGGAAATCTACCGAGCAAGAATGACAAAATCTTTTGATCGAATGGTGCGTCCTCGATATTTTCAAGAAGGGGAATTGGTCCTGGTGCAGAGAAAACCAATCATCCCACACCGAAAAATTGGTGGCAAATTCGTATCCAACTGGGAAGGACCTTTCGTCATCGAGAAGGTATTTCAAGGAGGAGCTTATCAACTCATTGATCTGAATGATCAGAAGCCCATGCCGCCGATCAATGGTAGATATTTGAAGAAATACTATGCATGAAATCGCCAAAAAAAATGTTATGCTTAATGAGTTATATTTTTGTACAAATTTTATAAGCATGTACATTTTATATTTTGAAATTTTCCTCTGTTATGAGAATACATTTCAAAATCCTCCTGTTAAATTGGGGGCATTTTAAATATTTATTTGGGTCGACATCGCGCTGCGTGCCGAGATCTCCGA